GACACCACAGACCTAAAAAATTATCGACCAATTTCACTTCTTTCACAACTTTACAAAACATTTACAAATATTATTACAAACAGGTTAACAATTAAATTTGACGGATATCACCCAGTAGAACAAGCCGGATTTAGAAAAGGGTACCTGTAACCATCTATACACTTTAAAAATCCTAATAGAAAAGACAATACTAACGAATACAATCTCCCATTGTGTCTGGCTTTTATAGATTATGAAAAAGCTTTTGATAGCGTAGAACTGTGGGCAATAGAAGAAGCATTAGTAAACAACCGGATAGACTTCAGGTACAGAATCTATCTATCTATCTATCTAATCAGCCTTAAACGCCCACTCTTGGGCATAGGCCTCCACTGTTAATCTCCATTGGTCTCCATTTTGGGCGATCTGCATCCAGTCCTTTCCTGCCGTTCTCTTAAGATCGTCAGTCCATCTCATCTATGGTCTTCCTCTTTTTCTTTTCTTTTCTCATGGTCTCCAGTGTAGAATTCGCTTATTCCATCTTTCATCTTTTTGCCGGAGAGTGTGACCGGTGAAGTTCCATTTAAGTTTTGCAACCTGTCTTGATACATCGTTCACCTTTGTTTTTTCTCTGATCCATGAGTTTCTTTTCCTGTCTTTAAGACCGATACCCAGCATCTGTCTTTCCATTGCTCTTTGTGTTTTGGATATCCTGTCGATGTTCTCCTTTGTGAAAGTCTATGTTTGTGAGCCATATGTGATAACTGGTAAAATACACTGGTTGAATACTTTCATTCGCATATATTGAGGGAACTTTTTATTTTTTAAAATATATGATAGTTTACCAAATGAGACCCATGCTAGTCTAGTTCTTCTTTTTATTTCTTCTGTTTGATTGTCCCTGTTCAGCTTTATTATCTGTCCTAGGTATATGTATTCTGCCACCTGCTCTAATTTATTCTGTGTGACTACTATTTCTAAGTATTGGTCTTCTTGGTTTGTCATAGTCTTGTTTTTACTATAGTTCATCTCTAGACCTACCTCTGTCGCTTTTCTATCTAGTTCCTCAACCATCTTCTGTAACTCTTCCTTCTTATCTGCTATCAGGATTATATCGTCTGCATATCTTTAAGAGCTCTCCATTTATTCTTATTCTGTACCTATGTATCTCATTATAATTTTTTAAATATATCTTCCATAGCCTGATTAAACAATTTTGGTGATTCTGATTCCTCTTTCGAATTTTATTGGTTCTGTAGCGTGTTCGTTCGTCAATTTTATTGTGGTACTCGCATTTTTGTATATGTTTGTTATAAGATCCGTGTACCTGTAATACAGAATACAGAATACGGAATAAAGTACAGAATACTAATACATAATATTTACAAACAAGCTGATATGATACTGACATTGTTTAATGGAATCGAAACAAGACCAGTAAAAATCAACCGAGGAGTAAAACAAGAAGACACAATATCTCCAAAATTAGTTACAGCTGCCTAGAAGATATCTTTAAGTCAATAGACTGGGAAAATAAGGGAATGCCTATTAACGGAAGATACTTGAACTATTTTAGATACGCAGATGATGTAGTACTAATAGACGAGACGTGGAATGCACTGAATACGATGATTGAGGAGCTACACACAGAATCCTTAAAAGAAGGAATTAAAACGAACTTCAGCAAACCTAAACTTATGTCAAACAAAGATGCCAAACCTATGATAAACATCGAAGGGACAGAGATAGAACACGTAGATGAATATACATATCTGGGTCAAAATGTCAAGGTAAGCAAAGAAAATCAGACTAACCAAAATAAGCAGAGGTGTAAAAATGAGATGGCAGCATTCGGCAGACGCTCATACGTACTTAAAAATAAAAATATACCTCAAACAATGCAAAACAAAGTGTTTAATTCCTGTATCCTACCTGTAGTTACATACGGAGCTCAAACCTGGACATTCACTAAAATAAACATGGAGAAGATCAGAAAAACTCAGAGAGCTATGGAACAACAGATGCTGGGTATCTCATTCAAAGACCATAAAACCAATGATGACATTTGTAATAGAACAAAAGTAAAAGATGCTGTAGAACAGGCAGCTAAACTGAAATGGAAATGGGCTGGACATAACGAACGTCTTACTGCAGGGCCAATGTGGAAATGGCTTACAAACAACAGAGATGAATGACGAGAATTAGGAGAGGCCTATATTTCGCAATCCGAATAGAGAAAAGGGATTAAAAAAAATCTGTGATGGGCGGTGGTAAGACAGAAATAATATTGCGGATATTGAAACAATGTAAAATATTTAGTTTCAGACACCTTTTTTAAAAACTTCATAACAGGTTCATCGTTATTCTCAGTGATTTGGGCGACAAAAAACGTAATTGTTTTCTTTGTACAAAACCTCACAAAACCCAGTAGCTAGTCGCTTATTTTTTATTCACGAGGAATATTTATTCTTTCGTATTCGACTTAAGTCTTCGTTCTCAGACTAGGAGCTAGAAATGTTTGGTTGCTCATATTCGAACGTTTTATTTTTACTTTTTATTCTTTCTTTGTTTTTTTACGCTTCTGATTTTTTGGATCTTTATATTTCTCTTGTAACCTTTTAGAAGCCGGCAAACATATCTTATTTTGTTTTTCTCCTTGTTTTTTAATTCGTTCAAGCTCAGCTTACGCAGTAGTAAGTTCCGCACCATTGTATATTTTACTCTTTTTCTGTTTCTCACTATTTCCCTTTTTTATGCACGCTACATAAGGTTTTCGAATGAAACAGCAGACGTTTCAGTTAAACTGTTCTTGTATTCGGTTGGTTTCTCACCTTCTTGGAAAATTTCTAAAATAAAAAAGTGTTACTTTTTATACTCAGTACAATAATTTAGCAAAGAAACTACCTGATACATTATCCATAGAAGATGTGGTACTTGTTGGTGGAATATTCACTTTAATTTCGGATATTTCCTTTATTATATCGTCTAATAATTGCAGATGAAAGTAACATATTCCATAAAAAAAACAGTCAGTTTATAAAAAAAAAAATTAAAAAATTACCTCAAAGTTCATTTGGGGCTCCAACAGAGGCAGCGCTTAATGTAGAGGTAAAAGCAGTCTCGTTTGACTTAGCTGGAGGGTTTGTAACTTTTAACAGAACTTTCCATCCAAAATTACACTGTGGAGTAAGTGCGTACTACTACGCACTTTTCATCGTCTAAATCTACCCTCTTACCCCATAAACTTTAAATAATAAAGCAAATCAAAATAAACGATTATTAAAATTTTCCCTAGTTATACCAAAAACTAACTATTCCATTAGATTCTACGAATTTAATAGTGTATACTTACCGATTATTTTATTTAAAACAACAAAAACATCTGCTTAATTTGTCACGACAAAATCGAGACAAAAAAAAGTTTTCGACAATTTTTCTTACGAACGAAGTTTTCGTAAGGTTATTGCTTATTGGCAAGTCAGCCGTATATATCAGGTACAGAATCGGTCCGAGCACACTACCCTGAGGTACACCAGATAGGATGGGGTAGAGTTTTGTATAGGCTTCACTATATTTTACCAGATATCTCCTTTCTGTAAGGTATGATTGAAGCAGTTTAAAGTAAGGGTAAGGTAAATGTTTCTTTAATTTGTACTGAAGTCCTGTATGCCACACCTTGTCAAAAGTTTGAGAGGCATCTAAAAAGGCTGCAGTACAGTATTGCTTATATATCTAAAGATATATAACATATTTATGTATTTCGTAACCATTATAATAAAGCTAATTTCAAAAAGTGCTTACAAACTAATTATTTAAGAACCGCGAGAAAAACCCTATATATATGTTATTTAAAAATACTTATTGCTCATAAAACATACACAAACAAAATATCATAACAATATATATATATATATATATATATATATATATATATATATATATATATATATATATGTATATATATATATATATATATGTATATATATATATATATATATATATATATATATGTATATATATATATATATATATATATATATATATATATATAAGTAAATTTTTATCCTACAACAGGCAGCATGAGATTTTCTGCCGACGAGATTTTCAATGCCTTAAGGATAAGAATTTTATACAGTAGGTCTAATTAGTTAGGGATACGTCTAGGTTCTTTACGTTTCGTCCAACGATGAAATGAGGAAAACTCACGACGTTCTGCAAATGAACAATGGAGATATACAGCTGCAAAACGTCGTTATCAAACGATAACGCAAAAGAAAATAGAAGATTTCTTTAAAAAATCATGTTAAACTTATTCATTTTCACTAATTTTATTACTTTGATGTATATTTACTTATTAGAAAACATTACGAAATCACCTCATAGTATTTTTAATACCAATACTTTAATAATATTATTCGTTCACGTCACCAATAATACTATAAAAAATAATGATATTTTTAACCGAAATTCTTGTTATCCGAAACAACGGCCTCCCCCCAATTATTTCGGTTAACGGAGGTTTTACTATATATAATATATATATATATATATATATATATATATATATATTCCGTTTTTGAGTTATAAAAAAAAGCAGCGGTATATATATATATATATATATATATATATATATATATATATATATATATATATATATATACCGCTGTGCCGAAAACTCAATTTTTTTATTTTCTTATAACTCGAAAACGGAAACTCCGCAAATAAAATTTCGAATGGAGTGATTATCCTAAAATTTGGAGGAATTTTTTTAGATATGGTAGATGTAATAAAATATTATAAAAAATTCATTTCGGTAACTTTATCAACGCTGTAAAACATCTTAATACCTAACTGTTAGAAAACAGTATATTATAACATTAGACAACATTCACAATGGACCAATAAAATCGTAAAATTTATAAAATTTTGTGTTTTTAAATGTATTTGTGTGTATAATATTGTGTATTTATAAATACCTCGGATCTCGTTAAAAATATACTGCATTATTTTAATACATTTACCTAGTAAATCCCGTTGTGGTAACCACTTTTTGATGATAACATTTTTGGGAATATTCTCTAAATCTGTTTCAAATTTCCATAACACTGTTTGTTTTAACTTTCCTAAGGCGTCAAGGATTGCATTTCGTTTATCTTCACTTATTAAAGACGATTTAACATTTGTTCCAAGTGCAAATAAGATGACACCTTCTTTAGTATTATCCATGATACGTTGAAGATCCTAAAATATTTTGCAGAATAAATAAACAATAAACCATTTGTTTTTACTATATTAAAAGCACAATAGAATGAAGTAAACATTTTCAAGGCAAGTATTTTGTAAATCTGAGCCAGAGCCAGTTATAGCAGATATGTGCTTCCTATGTCAAAATGCTCTTAAAGCTTTAAAATAGTTGTTAATAATCACAGGTAGGTTTTCTCTATAGAATAAGCAAAGTGGGCATGGCATCTTAACAACATAAAACATAATACATAACCTCTGCTAAGCAAATACAGTACTCAAAAAAGATACTACGAAATGGACAAGTTCAAATCATACAAAACATAAGTTATATGTTTTTCCAATGGTAAAAAAATCTTTCCCGGCCTTTCCCATGGCCGATCGACTAAATTTTTAGATAATAATAATACTAATATCTAGATCCACAGTTAAGTACAGATCTCTGTATTTGGCTCATCTGGGCAAAGAACTAATGCTGGACAGTTCAAGACACATACAACATAATCCAGCAAATAGCACAGCTAAACAATGACTATATGCATTAAAAAACCTCCGGAGATACAAAGTATCAACTGAAAATGTGACAATACAGTTTTTTTAACCATTTAGAGAAAACGTACAAAAAGAAATTCATGAGTTTTGGAGAAATCAACTTTCAACGAGTACTACTTTTAACAACATAACTGGATATATTGAAGACACAACGAACAACTGTCAATAGTACAGTAATATTCCTTATGAAACCTTTATCATTAAAGAAATCTTAAACAGATGAAAATCCTGGGTCAGATGGAGCTAATTATATTTAGAGATTACTACGCCCTGACGAGCCCCATCGCTTACCTCTGGCAATGTTTTTGCTGGTTTGATATGTAAGCCACCTACTGGAATTATGTTTGGAGTTATAGGTTGTGGGAGGCTAAAACCTTGCATTAAATTACACAAAAGTAGAGAAATGTGATTTTCAAGAGAATCTAAAGAGTTCATTTGTTCTCCAAATATTTCTTTAGCTGCATCTAAAAAAAACATAAATAAAAAAATATAAAGAATAAGCCAACTGTTGGCTAGATGCTTCAGTCCTCTAGCAGACATATTTTCAACTGTGTACACTATAATTCCACTATTTGGAAGATTGATTCATTGTTTAAACGCCGAATATCCTCAAATTTAAATGTACACACCGACCCTCGAAAACTACCCGTTTTCTCAATTGCAATTTGCGTTTTCTCATAAGAAATTACAGAATATATAAGTAGTATATTTATTTGTGCTTCTCTATAGAAGACTTGACCAGGAGTTAGGTACAGTATAGCCAATTCTTGTTCACAAGTAGTAATTATGGTCATACAAAACCTGTATTCTTCCACGCAGCGATTATTTCCGTCATAAAAATACCAAAAAATATGATTTTTTTAATAGTAAAAACGAAGCACAAAATTGTAATGAAATAAATTTTATTTATATGTTTCGTTTCGTTGCATATTTAAGTTTATAAAATAAAAATAGATATTCTAAAACATTATTTTTCTATCGTTTGGCAATTTTGAAATTACCGACCGACCCACAGATAGCCGTAAAACTCGTTTTTGCCGAGAAAATGCCGACGTCTTTCCCCACTTCTCCGCCTTTAACCGATGAATTATTCTTCCAAATAGTGGAATTAGTAAAGTTTACTAAATTATTGTTTTAAATAATTACACCTTTATAATCTTTTCAAAGAAACAGTATTAAATTTAAAAGATATGTGACTGAAGTACAGCCGGCCGGTAAATTAGTTGTATGGTAAGAGATACTTTATCACCCGGTAAACTCTTATTCTTCACACACTCCGTAAGACGCTAAAAAATACAAAATAGTAATGGCAGAATTACTATATACATCGCTATTTAAAAAAAGCTTATCACAACTTATTTAGCTGCAACACTGTGCATCTGTTCCCAATGCTTTCAGACTCTCAATAAAAAAAACGGGTGTGGCAGTCCAGTGGGACTGCCGGTAGAAGTTATACTTCTATACACGCGTTCGACGTTAAAAATTTATATGGGAGTCAATCTGTACAATCATTACATATGTAATGCTATAGGTAAGACAGAGCAGAAAGAGAAAAAGAATTAGTTATATAGGTATCTGGGGCATCGTTTGCTGTATATAAACATTTGACCTGTAATTGGAGTATAGTAAATGAAGGATTGTATCAGTATTTTAATCAAAATATATATTTTTATTTTTATATATGTATAAAAGGAGTTGAATGCAAAAAAAAATTTTTATACATACTCTGCACTAAAATTCATTGTTTATTTTGTTATTATTATAAAAATTTCAATACAATAAATACCCTGCAATATAATTCAATATAATAATACAATATAAATTAAAATGTAATATTCATAAGTATTTAAAACTGCCAATATACATAACTTACTTTAAGAAGATAAAAATAAAAGACCAACAACTCGGATTATGTTGTGAATTTTCATTTTATTTTAAAATTTAGCATTTTTGCCTATATTACATATATTTAATAATATTAAAGTGAGGCTTTTAAATATTTAAAAAATAAAAAAGGAAATTCATAATTGGGATTTGAACTCACAACCACCAGCGTATGAACCAAACACGTAAAGGATTTGCCAGCTATGCATAATAGTAACGGATTTCAAAATTGACAGTTCTCGGTCAAACAGTGATTATTTTGACATACAAAAGCCTGAAATAATTATAAACGTTTAATAAATAATACAAAACATATCACATACATAATAATATTAATACATATTATATTATATATACAATATTATATATATATATATATATATATATATATATATATATATATATATATATATATATATAATATTATTATATATATTATATTATATATACTGTATTGTGCGAATTAATGGAATCATAGACTGTTTTAATGAAAAACAGTTTATTTAGTAAAAAATTATATTTTTACAAAGCTATAAAGGTAAACTTACATCATTCAGTAGGAAATATGTACCCTTTGGGCAGCAATTACTGCTTTTACCCGTTTTGGCATAAATTCTATGAGTTTCTGGCAGTTGTCAGATATCCTTTCATCTCGATACCAAACCTTAATGGCCGCTTCTATCATTTTTGTTTTAGTGGTACAGTCGATTTTTCGCAGTCTAGCTTTGCAAATGGCCCATATATTTTCAATGGGGTTGAGGTCGGGCGAATTACCAGGCCAATCTAAAACAATAATCTTCTTATTTTTGAAAAATGCCATCATTTCCTTTGATTTGTGACAGGGAGCAGAGTCCTGTTGAAGAATCGCTCCTCCTTGGGGTTGACATTTTTGGAGTTGTTTGTCCAAATACTTTTCCAACATGAATTTGTATTTTTGGCTGTTCATCATGCCTTCAATTGGTACCAAAGATCCAACCCCCATGTATGAAAAACATCCCCAAAACATTTTCTTGACTGGATGTTTTACGGTTTGATCAATATGAGATGGTGTAAGCTTTTCATTGTCAGACTTCCTGACGAATTTCTACCGCTGTTTCTGAACTATAAAGTGGGTTTCATCTGTAAATAGGACTTTTTCCGGTCGCCTACAGTCCAATTAGAGTATTTTTTGGCCCACAGTAGCCTTTGTTTCTTCATTCGTTCAGTTAGAAGCTGTTTTTTCTGTGGACGAATTGCCCTTCTACCATTCTCCAAAAGTCTTCTACGAACAGTTGAGTCATGAATCACTATAGCTGATGCTGCTAGATCTTGTTGTAGGTCTTGGCTTGATTTTCTTGGGTCCAATTTGCTCTTTCGAAGTAAAAATCTATCATCTGCTGGTGTTGTTTTTCTCTTTCTTTTACATTTTCCTAACCTTTTCACATCCACTGATTCCGTGTCTCGTTTACGTTTCAAAATTTTGCTTACTACCCCCTGACTCACTCCACACGTTCTAGCAATCTCTCTTTGTGACATACTAGTGTGTTCACTTAACGTGGCAATCTTTTCACGCTTACTAGGCGTAATATCCATGTTGGAATACAACCAAAAACAACACAAAATAGTACAAAAACCCCCAAAACAACACAAGCTTGGTAAGAAATGACCTAAAACACACTCAAACACACCAACACACAGTAAGGTTATGTTTTCAATGCTTGGTCAGCTGTCAACTGTGTAGGTACTGTTGCCAACTGTGAATATTGAAAAAATGAAAAAAGATTCACAGTGATTCCATTAATTCGCACAATACTGTATATATGTATATATATATAATATATATATATATATATATATATATATATATATATAATTTATATAATATTAAATATTATAATATATATATATATATATATATATATATATATATATATATATATAATTTATATAGTATTAAATATTATAATATATATACAAAAGGAACATTTTTATTCTCGAGAGAGGAAGAGAGAGAAAATATATCTTCTGTTTCTCTCTTACTCATTATCTTACATATGTAATGTTTTCACAGATTCACTCTCATGCAAGTTTCCAACGCCGACTGTGCTTATAGAAGTATAGCTTCAAAAATTTGATATAAGGCCTAGTAAAAAAAAATAGATTTTGACGGTGAATTTTAAAAAAAATATACACTTACCCTCGAAAACATTGTTTAAATAATATTTTCTTACTAGGTCCTCAGCTCTGATCCAATAGAAAGATTTAAGTCGCTGAAGAAAAGTAGTCTCTTTGTTGTATTCTGCTAAATAATATGGAATATAGGATGGTACCACATTGTTTCCAAAATTTTCCGACATAAAATGAGGTAGTATGAAAGCTGTTACTGCCACTGCAGGAGGATAGTGGAATCTTTGAATTAAGGGCAATGTACATGGACCGCAGGTGTTGTCAAATATAATTAAATCAAATTTATATTCCTTTGGATAGTTGAGAATTGTCTTTAGAGCATCTGAGTGCAGTATATAGTTACAACTAATAAGGCTGTAGTCGACAAATACCATGAAATGCTCATAAACCGTCATTTTAAAAAATGTTAGAAAATCCATTTCGGAATCTAACTCTTCAACGAGACCTGCAAAAATATTTTGATTTTATTACATATTTTAAAATGTCAAGGTATCTTACAATAATAATTGTTTTACTAACAACTAAATTATTTTTACAATGAGAATTTTCTTTGATAGAATAAATTAAAAACTAGTTGGTTTTAACTTTAAAATATAGTAAATTGTTCAATCTTTTATTACAGTTGTTAAAGATGCTCAACCTTATTTACGTTTCGAAAGTTGTTTATTTGAGATGAGATGCCTCTAATTTTAAACAAATTTCACTGTTTCTTAACAAATTAGTTGTATGTACTAGGAATATAGTTCAGCAGTACGAGCAAGTCTTACTGGAACCAACGCGACAAAGACGAATATATGTATTGTGTAACGGCTGGACATCATCATCATCATCCAGCCTCTATTTATCACGTCCACTGCTGGACATAGGCCTCCCTTAAACTCCTCCATTCCTCACGATTTTGTGCTCTTACGGCTGGACATAATGACTTGTAATAAAATAATAAAAACATGTAAGTAAAAAACATATAATTAAAAAGTTTAATGTAATGAAAGATAGTGGTTTGCAGCTTACAATAGTAATATACTTATAGTATTACTCACTCCATATCCCAAGTGTTTACGCTTAAAAAATCAGAATATAAGGCTATTTTCTAGTCTACCTATTTTCATTTTATAAAATAAATGTCTCAAATAAATTCAAATTTTAACACAAAATAATAATACATTTAAGATGCACTTATCAAATTCCACTGATAAAGAGTAAATAATTACGAATTCGCATAAATTGTGCTGACCAAATATTAATTTGCTAAGGCCGGCTCCACACATGGGATCCAACGTTGGCGCCAACGTTGGGTGAACTGTGTTCCCACGTTCGGTTAGGCATCCACACATTGGGTTGAGTCACTGTATAGTGCTTTAAAATTAAAAATATAGTAGTGCAAAATTACACAATAATTTTACGTCATTTTCTCTACAGCTTTGCTTAAAGGTACTAGATCTTTAGAGGTGCTGTATTTGGCAACTGCAGACTGAATAATGTGTAAACCTGATGTCGAGGCTCTGAATCCAATTTATTCTTTTATTAACTCTATTCAAAAATTTCTTTGTCTTCTATTTTAGCTACATTCTGCATTAAACGTGGCTGTCATATTTTTATATTAATGGAAAATAATTAATATTTAATTATATAGCCGATATATAAAAGTACATTGTCATATTTTAAAAGTTACCACATGACGGTGGTCTATTAGGAGAAAATGATCTACATTTCAGAATTAAAAGCATTTAGTTTTACTGAAAAAAACTGATATGTATATTATTTATTTATGTAAGAAATTTATTATTAATTAATAATAATTAATAAATAAATATATAGCCGATATATAGAAGTACATATTTTGAAAGTTACATGACCACATGATGGTGGTTTAGTAGGAGAAAATGATCTACATTTCAAAATTAAAAGCATTTATTTTTACTGAAAAAAACAGACAGGTATATTATTTGTTTATATAAGAAATAGCTATTGAGCATAATCGGCGCAAAATCGGACTAAGTGGAAGAGCATGCGAGAGGCCTATGTTCAGCAGTGGACGTTAGAGGCTAGTTGATGATGATGATTGATTGAGCATAAACCCCGTTCTGAGAGACTACCGTCGTGTATAGGAGTGTTAGTTCTAAAAAGTCAACGGTTGTTGCTCAGGTAGTCGAAGATCAATTTTTACATGTTGTAAATTTGTTTTTTAGTGCCGTCATGTAATGTAAATTTTCTTTGATAAAGTAGTTCTTATTTTCCAAAAGGAATGCTGTGTAAAATTGCAGCACAGGCGTTTTAAAATAAAAAAAAACGATGACTCTTTAGACCCATTAACTAAAGTATGCACAAATCGTGGTCGGCATCAACGACAACACCAATATTGGCGCCAATCTCTTTGATGTGTACCCAAAAACCGAAATTCCTCGGAAAACTCCCAACGTTGGAGCAAGTCATAAAAACGTTGGCGTCAACATTGGTTCCTACACAGTTTGGTCGGTACAAACATTGGACGAACGCTGTTGGGGCCAACGCTGGCCCCCATGTGTGGAGCCGGCGTAAAGCGTATCGTGAATTCGTCTGTTGATACAGCTGACTCTTTGAAAAAGACAGCATATTGACCATTAAAATGTAAGGAGAGCTATCAAAATGTGAACCGATATTATTTTGATTTTTTTATTAGTAAACGGCGTATTTGATAACTCGTACAATTCAAATATCGTATTACATTTATTAGTCACCTTTTTTACTTCCTTGTCAGAGCGCTTAGTGTCGTGGAATATTGGCATAGAATCAAGAAAGCGCAGTTGACATATGTACCTCAATGTATATTACCTAGGTCTAGCTGAAAGATTTGTTCCACTAGTTGGAACCATATGGAAAATTTTTTATTATTAATTTTACGAAAAAAATTATTCGTTATAAACAGTTTTTCATGTTCTAAAATAAAATCATCAGATATCATATTTTATTAATAGTATACGAGGTATGTCAAAAAATATGAATTTTGCTTAAGAGTAAAGTACCTTTATATTTCAAAATATCGAAAATTGTTACAAAGTAAAGTTGATCAAAACTGAAAACTATTAAACATGCATTTACATTGAAAAAATAAGTTTTATTATTTTTTAACAATTTTTTTTATTTTGAATGAACATTTTTATCTCTTGTGGTTAAGAAACACATGATAACCGTATCGTTTCTAAATGTTTTCTAATATTTTTGCATTTTAAATACTTAATTAATGCGTGTGCATTTAGCTTGCCAATTGGAACATAGATTTTCTTCTAACTAGCCTTGGACGAGACAGCAAAAATCAAAGCGCCTATCAAAATCCCTTTCTTTCAATGTGTTAATGATTTTTGGTCTAAATGGCTTGTATTTATTTAGTTACAAAATTATTTATTTCTATGATATTAAATTTTTATTTACAGTTTATTGCATTAACGACTTCCTCCATTAGCAACCAGGTGTTTGCATTTTAGTGAGAGCGCTCACCAAACTGGCGTGGCAAGTAGCAAGTAGCAAGTAGCACGCTGCAAGCATGGTACTTAAAATGTAACCAATACAAACGAATGATTAGAATGAATGACGTCACTGGAATTTTGGTGTGCGCTGAATCATTCGTTTTCATTGGTTACATTTTAAGTAACATGCTAGCTACTGGCACTTGCCATGTCAGTTTGGTGGGTGCTCTCCCTTACATTAAAATTATTTTTTATACTATCTATCTATCTATATCTAGTACTCTTATATTTATTTACTATTTTCGGTTATTATAACGGTGGAATGATTTATATTTTTACTGGGATCTATATTATTAAAAATAATAGCTGTTTCTCTATTTTTTTTATATTGTTATCCCATAATCAAAACACTTTTAAGTTTATCTTCTATACTTAATGTTGCAGGCATTTCTACTAAATTTTATAAATACTTTTTTACAAATTTGTCTAAATACAACTGATGTTTTAAAAGTAAATGTCAAACATATCTTGCTATAAACAGTTTATTATTGTTTCCTAGATTTTACGGAACTAAATACAACTGATGTTTTGAAAGTAAATGTCAAACATATCTTGATATAAACAAGTTTATTAGTGCATTCTAGATTTTATGTAACAAAATATAACTAATGTTTTGAAAGTAAATATCAAAAATATCTTGCTACACACACACAACAATTTTTGTTGAACCCCAGCTCCGAGTGACCTGTGTGTTTCAATGGAACAGTGGGGCCCATATGTCCAAAGATCAAACCGGTCACACTCCGTAATGGAGTAGTACTTATCTGACCCCCAAGCAACCACCCCTCCCCATCCAATGAGCAAGCTTTGTACCGAAAGTTATTTTGAATGTCCTAGGTAATGGGACATCCTCTGTTTTACTTTATGTAGTTAAAAAACCTGATTTTAAGGGTAGGAGGAACTACTGAAGTTAATTTTTACATGACTTTGGACTTGTGTCTCAAAGTGTGTGTTCCAGATAGCGAGTCACCGACCTAAGTCGGTGATTTTCCGCCCGGATTGTGTGTGCTCGGTCACTCAGCCGCCGAATTGGCAAAATAATTTTTTTTTCTCCTCGTCAGCTGAGCACCCGAAGGGTCTCCATGTTTGTCAGCATGGCTGCTGTAATAGAAGGTTATAAGTATTAAAAATAAAAATAATTAAACAAAGGAAATAAAATATAAAGATAGGGTATATTTTTGGGGCCTTCTGTTACTGCAGTTATTCGACTATTGCATGACTATCATTTTTTCACTGTTCTTCTGGGTCTTCTTTATATCCAGCTATCTGCTGTCTGGGCCGCTATATACTGTCCGTTGGTTTTTTTCATAGTCTATCAACTCTCTTAGTAGTCTACTAGGATGGTTCCTGAAATACCTGAGAATCTATTAGTTATTAGATTTCTCTCCTGGATATTTTAATTTGCCTCCTGCATCTGACGAATTTAATTTATTAGGCATTTGTTTGTATTGAGTTGGCTAGTTTGGATTCCATCTCCATTCTTCTGGTTCCTTTAGTTTTTTAATAAGATAATGTTTATAGTCTTCAAAACTACTATCCAAGTCTCCTTCCGGAGAGAATTGTCTTTTTCGATTCGTTGATATTTCGTATGTATCGCGATCACTGTCACTATCACTATCGTTATGGGTAATATTGGTAGTCACTTCTAAGTCTACTTCATGCACATGAACACTATTGTCTACTTTATTAATGTGCAACTCTAAATTTATATCTAATGGAATGAGATTTATGTTTTTATCAACATTTGGTTCATCAGTATTCGAATTAAAATTTAAATTTGCGGTCTGATGGGCTTCTCTGGGCCAACAGGGGCTGTTTCTGTTATTTTTGGATACTGTACACTATTATTTTATTAACTGTTCGTCGCACATAAACAAAATTAAAATTTTATTTAAATTAAAATTCAATATGACGTTTGCTGCATTAAAATTCATTGAAAAAA